CTTCATGCTGCTTGAATGAAACTTATTGGAAGCCAAGTTGCATTTATATTTAATTTCTTTCCATAAAATAAATTACTTTTTGTTAACAATTAATGATGCACCAATTGTGTAATTGTGGGCCGATATTGATGTTTAGAATAACAATTTGACCTTTACCAATACCAATGTTTTATATGCCTCCGCGCCGGCAATAGTCTTGCCTGAGGTATTATGATTTTGGTTTATCTGTCTCATTCTTGTGAGCATGATATCTCAAAAATACCTTGAGAAAATATCTTCAAATTTGGCACAAATGTTTAGCCTGGTTCCAGACCATAGACCCCACCCACTCAACTGAGTAGACTTGCATCTCTGGTCTGGCATACTGCAATGAATTTGCGATTTATCTCGTCCAAACGATGGACGGACCAATGAACGCCGGGGGTGGGGGCGGGTCTAGCGATTAGCCAATCAGCGCCACGCTGATGTCAAGCTGTACGCCGGTGGGTAACTGGTGAGGATAGCAACAATGGCGACCGCTACAGATCCTACAGACCACATTAACAATGCTATCAAGGTATTTCGCCACTACTCGCATTAATGGAGGATCAAATTAAGGAAGCTGCTAAACTGGATTTAACGGCGATGCAGCTGGGCGTGCACGACGACGGAGACATTTTAAACGGGCAATGCTCACTTGTTTTCGGCACCCCCGCGGCATGGATACTAATGACATCAGATTCTCGGTGAGTCGTTGATCTCTACTGATTGGTTAGGGAAAAATCAAATTCCCTCCCCCTTGTAAATCGCCTTCAATGGAGGCGATGTCAGACTGAAGGTTCTGAGAGCTTCAGTCTGACACTCAGGCTAACAAATGTTCACTTGGACTCAATGATGAACTGATTAGATTTTGGTGTTCAAAGGTCAAAGTCATTGTGACCTTGTCTGACTCATTTTTGAGACTGCAATATCTCAAGAACACCATGAGGGAATTTCTTCAAATTTGGCACAAATGTTCACTTGGACTCAACAGTGAACTAATTGGATTTTGGATGTCAAAGGGTAAAGTAAATGTTACCCTGCATCTGTCTCATTCTTGTGAACATGATATCTCAAGAGCACCTACAGGGAATTTCTTTAAATTTTACACAAATGTCCACTGGGACTGAAGAATAAACTGATGAAAATTTGGTGGTATAAGGCTAAAGGTGCTAATTTTGACAAAGCTTCAAACAAATGTCTTATAATATAAAATAATGAAGTGGTTACATTTTATATAATACAGATCAAATGTCAACTTTACTGTGACATTGTAATGTTATGCCTGAAACACTTTTCTGGCCATCACATCACATCATGTCGTATTTCAGTAACAAAAGAGGAAATATTTGATCAGATAGTGAATTGGTGGTTCTAATCTTGGGTGTCCATCTTGAAACTGTGCTGGTTATATAGATCTTCTGTGCTGTCGGGGGGAAGATGTGTGCTAAGCATCCATGTTTTCACAGACATGGGTGTAAACTGTAAGAGGAACTTGACTGGTGCACAGAAGCATACAGCCACAGCGTGCTAATTCTGGTTTCTGAATGCGTTGCACAGCTTTTCAGTTGTCAAGCATATACATGGATTGATTTTAGTAACTTTAATCTACTCAGAGTGTGCACTGTGCAGTTATATTATCTAAGAGAATAGAAGTATTGGATCAGGACTCAGTATAGGCAGATACGCAATATTAAATGACTCGGATCAGGCTCAGGGACAAAAAAAAAAAAACTTGACCAGGACATCCCCATTCATTATTCCTGACAGCGTCCCGAGAATATCTCCGTTTGTACCAGACAAGTTTTCTATTGTCCCTAGGACAATGGAATGCCATTAGTCTTTAGTTCTGTTTGTTAGCCTGTGCAAAATTAACATGACACAACAGGAAAACATCAGCTACTACCAATGATGAATGTCATCTTATTTGCTAATAGGCAGATGACAGTCAACATGGCAAATGTCGATACTGATGTGTGATCAATGCATCTCTCTTGCAAATGTAATGATATATACAAATAAAAGTATAAAAGTAAAACTCAAGGCAAATCTGTTGACTTTCAACCCAGATTACTTGCTTCAGATTTATTGTAACAGTGAAACAGCACATTGTTATTTCTGATATTAAAAGTTACATTTAATTCTCTGATATGAAGCTCTGAATCATAAACACATGCAGCAGACTGACAGTGAGGAGAATGAACTTAAGAAAGGAAATGACAGGGAGCATGGTGAGGAAGAGACCGGTTTCCTTTGGTCGCAGTGAGGCTGGAGATGGTGAGCGAGCACCACTCATGCTGTAAATCCTGTTATGTCAGAGATTAGCAGCGTGCCATGCAGGGGATGGAGAGGATGCTGTGGAGAAGGGAGAGAAGTCAACGTTCACCCAGTGACCATGAGGATTACAGCCCCTGTAAAAGCACATCCCATTGGTCTGAGTAGGATTAGAGACTTGTAAACTGAGGCTTTATTGGAGATGGGGTGATCACATCTGGTTGGAACCAAGGTGGGATTACAAGGGAGCAGAAGCTTGTCCCATTGGTGCTTGGGATTACGCTTGTTGCTTATTGGAGAACCAAATATGGCATTCACATAGCAGCATTTTGATTGGTCTGTTGCTAGAATCCAGTTTAGGAATTACCAAGTCATTTGACCATTTTGTACTTGGTGCAGATTATGCACTAATATGAACATGTAATTCCAGTTACAATTACAGTTTACTGACTATGATAATCTTATTGTAGTTTAGAAATAGTCTACGCTATATTTTACAGTGGAGAACTCTGCAGCAGGTGCTACACCTGTTTTAACAGACACAGTTTCAAACAGAAGAAAATAAAAGCAGTGAAGGGAAGTTTAATTATTGAAGTAGCCTCTGTTCCAACCCTCCAACCCCACTTAAACACACACTCTTTCCCCCCCTTCCTACCCTCCCTTCTCTTTCTCTTTCTTTCTGTTTGCACCCACCATTTGCACAGCTCCCTCTGGTAGATACATTGCAGCACTACAGACTTTAATGAACTGACCCGGTCTATGACATACTGTACAACCCTGATTCCAAAAAAGTTGGGACACCATGGAAAATATAAATAAAAAGAGAATGCAATGATTTGCAATTCCCTTTGAACCTATATGCAGTTGAATTCAGTCCAAAGACAAGATATTTATTGTTTAACAAGGTAATAAATTGCAATGTACTGCAATATATTTATTCACAATACTCAGCATAGTGCAACATATTTGAAATCACAATAATATCCTATCATTGTCATCTCCTGTCGCCTCCCAGTGGATAATGCGTTATTACAACTAATAAGCCGGCGGCACTTCCATGTACACAGAGTAACACTCACCACACACCATGTACACAGAGTAACACTTGCCAGTCGCCACACACTGTACACAGAGTAACACTTGCCTTTGTGGTAGGATCCACTTCTGAACCGTGTCTCGGCCACTTCTCCCCCTGTTGCTTTCTCTTTCTACCTGAGCTCTATCTCTTGCTATGACACTCTCCGCTCTTCCTCCCCCTCCCTTCTTGTTGTGAGGAAGCATTTCCTATGTGCCAGCGCGGGAATGTCGCCGGTCGACACGCATACTAAAAATGATATATATTGAAAAATACCGCGAAATGTTACAGGAGCCGATCGGCTTAATCAGCATTGTGTCATCTCCTCTAGTAGTGGCTTGGGTGAAACGGACATTTACGGACCTGTAGAAGTTACGCACTATAGCTTTAAGTATTGTGATAATATCATATTCCCACCTCTAGTATTTACATCCCTCCATGTTAGTTCCATTAACAAGGGAGAGACTTAAGAGATATTTAAAAATGGCCTGGTTATGAGTAGGTCTAATGACTGTAACATGCATTTTGTGTTTTATCAGATCTTCATGAGCATCATTATAACACAAATCCCGTGCAGTATCAAGATATCATTTGAAGGCAGTATTGTCCACCATATTGTAGTGCATGTAGTGCACACCTGAGCTCCATCTTACACCTTACCTAAGTCTACATAGGAAAAACGTCTTAAATATGGCGGTGTCAAGTCCACTTCTGATTTACAATGCTGAGTAATACAGTTCTATACAAACATGAGCTGTTTATTAAATATTCAACAGCCTTTTGGGTTACTTAGTCCCCATTAATTCAGCATCCTCAAAGACTCTTCATATGAATAGCTAATCAGCTGAATTGGAGATGACCGCAGTGATGCTTCTTAAATGTCTGAGCTGCTGACAAGTTTGTACTCCATTGCATCTTGTTTTTGGTGTTATTATAGAGTCTAAGTGATGTTTGAAAAATACATCTGCTGCATTATTTTGTTAATAAATACTTCTAAAAAACTTTTCACTGAGAGGTGGCACTGTAACCTTAATATTTTCAAGGGTTATATCAAATGTGATAATGCAGTGAAAAGCTTTAATACTAAAGTAACATCAAAGTCCCATTGAAAACCACTTGAGATTTAGTTTCAAACATGCAGGGACATGTGAGTTCCTTGCTAATTTAGTACACACACAACTGATTCGGAATGGGAATGATTTGAGGTGTTCCTGAGAGGTCCCACCTTGAGAACTACCTACTGTAGCTCTGAGCTACAGTCTCAGAGAAATGCAAGCACGGTCAATGTTACATAATATGCCTTATTAACAACCATAGCTGGATGGACAGGAAGCAGAAAGCATACAAGCTTTAAAAGACAGGGAATTGGCTTATATTGCAGCCGTGCCATACAGGTTTGACTTGCTAACACATGCTGTATTAGTAGTAATGCTGAAGACATGCTGGAGTTTTCCTTGAATTTGTCCCTTTGCTACAGTAATGATTTATGACTGTTAGTTTAACTGCACATTTGTTACCAGGTATACAGTGGAGGCAGATGTGGATGCTGTTTGCTATGTGTGGTCTCTTTAAAGAATTCTGAAGAATTTGGGATGGATCATGTGAAAGACATGTGGTCTTTTTGTCTCCACAGATCACCAGAAGTTGGAGCGAGAGGCCAGGATCTGCCGCCTGCTCAAGCATCCCAACATTGGTAACTATTTCCATTACATGACTGTATCTCTTTCTGTCCTGCATCTCATGATGTCACAAGGAGAGTTCTGTTTAATATTCATTTGTGTGTTTCAACACATACAAAGATCAGCCCTGAAGATGGTTTCATGTGTATAGAACAACCATTAAATATGGTGTGCACTGGATTCACATATTCCTCAAGGTGCTTTCAACAACATACCATATTCCCAAGCAAGTCAGTGGGGGTTTTCCTCAATCCATTTCTTCTTTTACACAATGGCCCATTGATCATCAACCATATCAAGAACACATTCTGTTTACATGTGCGCGCGCACACACACACACACACACACACACACACACACACACACACACACACTGCAATGTCATACCAACTCACTTTTATATCCCAAAATCACAAATACCACAAATTTGCAGTCAAAGGGCTTAATAATCACTTCATATTCAGATCTGTGTGAAACAAGTGTGGCCCCGTCATTAATTTGAATGAGGCCAGCCTGGTTATACAGTAGGATTGTGAATACAAAGCCAGCCTGGAATGTGCCGTCATCTAGCATGTTACTATTTTGGCCAATCAAATACATACAAGCCCACATTTCTGGTTGATCACTTTGGTAATGTGATTCCCATATTTCTAGTGTGGAGATTGCTGTGACGAAAAATACAGCAATTGCTTCCATGAGAACTTGTGCAGCTATAGAGATATAAAATCCTGTCTCAGAGTATTTTAACAAGTGTGTGCGGCTGTTCAGGAGAGTGCGCAGTGTATTTTTGGAGAAATGGCCCTTGGGAGCAATGGGCATTTGTTTTTGGGATAACAGACAGTTGTACAAATGGGTTTTTGGTCCACTAGCTCTAATAGCAGCTCTTGCTGGTAGTTCTGTGGAAATAGAGGTGCGGATTAGGGAGGAGTCAGGAGTGGTGGGGCCGCAATGTGGAAGGTTTCACTCAAGTACAGTTCATCCAAACCTTAGGATGTCCAGGGCTACATTCCAAACTCTCTGTCGGCATCTCACGAAGACGCTGTCAAGGCATGTAGTCCAGCTGTTCCTGTCAGAAAGGGTCTGGCAGTTGGGCTACAGTAGCCTCCTGCAGTTTGAACGGACTGCTCTGACACTGTATGGTAGGTTATTTGCGTCTGTTTAGTATGATGAAAAAAATCATGGATTATGGGAAAAACATATGAATTCTGGTATTAGCGTTCTCACAGGGGTCACATGGCGAGTGATCAGATATATATCACATTTTTTAACATCTTTGAAAGCAGCTCATGCAGTATCTTAAGAATATCTTGAGGGAATTTCTTAAAATTAGGCACAAACATTCACTTGAACTCAGCGGTGAACTGATTTATATTTTGGTGGTCATAGGTCAGAGGCCAAGTGACCTCATATGTCTCATTCTTGTGAATGTGATATCTCAAGAATACCTTGAGGGTATTTCTTCAAATCTGGCACAAACATCCCCTCAGACTGAAGGTTAAACTACTTAGAAGTTGGTGGTCAAAGGTCAAGGTCACTGTGACCTTGAATTTCTTTAAATTTGACCCAAATGTCCACTTGGACTGAAAAATACACTGATTAGAATTGTGTGGTGGAAGGTCAAAGGTCAAGGTCAGTGTGACCTCACAAAATATGTTTTTGGCCACAACTCAAGAATTCATATGCTAATTTTGACAAAACTTCACACAAATGTCTAATAGGATAAAATATTGAAGTGATGACAAAAGGTCAAAGGTCACCTTTACTGTGACATCATAATGTTCTGCATAAAACAATTTTCAGGCAATCATTCAATGTAATATCTTAGGAACAGAAAGGGAAATATTTGGTCAGATACTTAATTGGTGACGCTAATTTTAGGTGTCCATCTGGAAACTGTGTTGATTGTATAGATCTTCGGTGCTGTCTGGGGTAAGATTTGTTATGCATCCATACTGTCACAGACATGGATGTAAACTGTGCATGGAAGCATGCAACAGTGGGGCTGTAACTTTGCCATTCACGCCCATATCCATTCATCCAATAATAGTATGCCAACAACCCCGCAAAGATATACAAAAACCACCCATAACGCTATTACAACATACTGAGGAGAATCAGAGACCAACACTGACAGACAGACAGCTCTTAGCTGCCATAGAAATACGTGTGTTAAATCCACCTGTAAATCGCCTCACGGTAAGAGCAATCATCTTTAGCGTTCACAAGCTTTCAGTTGCCTGTTACCCTGCGTTAAACATCTGACTTAGTAAATCCACAGAGTAACGAGCTCCAAGACTGCTTTATCACCCCAGACTGACCCAGACTCTGCTGACGGGAGGTACAGTGTCTGAATAATTATTTCTTAATGTATTTCTCTGTATGTTATACACATTAGACTGTACTATTGTCTTCCTGGTTGTCTGTAGGGTGGGATCTGTGGTAAAACCCAGAGTGGATTTTCTTTCAATGATGGTCGCTACGTGCATGGAATGGAATGGATTGAATTGAATGGGCTGGATTATACAAAATGGACTGACACCTAACTTAATGAACTGTGAAATATATGAAAGAAAACTGAAAGTTGTGCTGTGAATGTTTAATTGTGGGTTATGTTTTGAGTTGCTCATTCAAAACAGAAGTGTTTTGTGTGGGTTTCTATTTGTGTTTGAGTGAAGAAAAGGTTTATTATTATTTGTCAGATGTGACTCTGACTGGCACCCCTCTAATACCAGCCCGTTACAACATATATGTTTTATTTTGTGGGCCAGGGTGCAGTCTGAACAGATGAGTTTTCAGTCTGAAGATGTGTAGAGTTTTCTCATGGGAGCCTACCACACTGAGAGTTGTTCCTGGTCTCCCGATGGGGGTGCCGTCGGGAGACTGCTCTGACGTGGGTGGCTGTAGGGCACTGCACCTCGGTGTGGAGCCTCATGTCTGCCCGGGTCGGGGAGGTCTCTATGGCGGCGCTCCCTGTGGCCGTGGACCGTGGGCCCTCTCAGTGTGGACGGCCCCCAGAGGTGGCTTTTTCCTTGCCTCGGGTCTCGGTGCTCGGCCATGTCTCTTTAGTGATCGCTAGTGTGTGTGTGTGTGTGTGTGTGTGTGTGTGTGTGTGTGTGTGCGTATGTATATTTACCTATCTCTATGTGGGGTGGGGGGGTTGGGTTTTCTCTTTTCTTTTTGTTTTCTGTTTTGGATCTTTGTTGTTTTTAACCTCTGTGAGGCACTTTGTGTTATTGTTGTATGAAAAGTGCCATATAAATAAAGTTGATTTGATTTGATTTAGAGTTTCTGCTCTCCTGATGTCAAATGGCGGTTAGTTTCACTGTTAGTTGTTGAGCCAGCACAGCGAACAGTTGTGACTCTGTAGAGCAGAAGCAGGGCCCTGTTCTTAGTGAGGGAGTGGCAAGCCTTCCAAACTCATTGAAATGAAGACATTGGGGCATCCAGCAAGCGGTGTTGACAAGGCATCCTGCAGCTGTAGATCCTCAGTTCAGATGATGAAAACCTTTAACGGGGGGAAATAAAAGGGGAAAACCTAATTTCATTCCCAAGAGACATACTCCAACCTTAACCCTAACCACTGATGTTTTAGACATACATTCCTAACCCCAGATTTTGTTTCCAAATGGGAGGGGAATCCCCACAACGCATCAACAGATTTATGTCCCCACAACTGGATTAATACAAGAAAAGAAGTTAGAAAGCATAGAGATTCTCAAGTGTATGTCCAAACAAATAAGTTCTGCTTAAAGCCATATTCTTCAGTAGTCAAATTACTCTATGCTCTGCCTTGTGCAATGGCTCTGTCTAGTAATGGAGTTCATCCACATGACTACCTCCTCCCTTCCGCAACAAACACACACACACACACACACACACACACACACACACCCTTCTCCCCCTCCCCTCCCTTCTTGCTCTGGGAGCTACGAAGGCCAACAAACTGTAATTACCACCTCAGCACTGCCTTTGCCACATAGTGAAAACTAGCACTTACTTGTTGTTTAGTCCCTTTTGTTTCCTTTTGGTGAAAATAAGCAATGAGGGGATGGGGTAGGGGGTGACAGACGAATGGAAGATAGGTGGGATATTTGGGGTGCTCGTCTATTGACCTAGTGTCAGATATGGACTCATTGACATGTCACAGACAATAGTTTATGTAAGAGAGGGTTATTTACCAGAGGTCTGGGTTGCCATGTCTGTAATCGAGGATTTATTTCAGTACAACATTGTAATTCCAGTTTTGACAGCAGCTTTAAGAAGTGTTTAGTTAACAGCTACCATATTAGCTCTGTTTTGCCAGTACTTATACTTAGTGTAATAAAAGTTTGTGATAAAGGTATGTTTAACTTTAGATATTTTATTGTTGAACAATACATTTAATTGTTAGAGATTAAATCCGCTTTTACGTCTGGAGCCTCCTTAAGGAATCTGATTCTGTTTGATTTGGCGGCGGGAACCTCTTGCGACCGTCGACCCCAGCCGGATTTGATCCCTGGACCTTCCTCATGAACGACGAGTGCTCTAACCACTACACAAGGGAGTATGTATGTATGTATGTATGTATGTATGTATGCGATTAATTTAGATTAATTAATCAAGGAGCATGTAATTAATTTGACTTTTTTTTTAAATTGCTTGAAAGGCCTACTTTTAGCTTTGAATATCAACATTTTAATTCACAGCGAAGACTGAAAAAACATTTCCCTTTTCAAGGAAAAGTAATCTTGATTCTTTGTGTATTGCCTTATAAGCATGGACAGCGCAGTTTACTGCTTTCTCTTTTGTTAAAAGTGAATTTAGCTCACCCAGCAGTAGATCTCTCTCTCTCTCTCCCAAACAAATAAAAATCCAGCTAGATCATTAAACAAGATGGTATTTGCAAATAAAAGGCCCATCCAAAATTGAAATCCTGGCACCGTGCCTGCACTCCAATACCAATATATCAGTGAAAACCTGATCATCATTTGTTCATATTTATGGGAAAACAACAATTTTTTTCCTGAGACTGAGG